TTGCCTAGAGCTCCAGCTGGGCTGTTAGCCCCTCAAGACCAACAGTGAGAGGTGTCCCTGCAGCGGCAGGGGAGCCCTCTCCTCGCAGACGGCTCCTGGTGCAGGGGCACGGCGTGACCCGCCCAGACTCTGGTCTCTGCCCGCGCACCCACCCGGGAAAGGCTCGCCTGCCTTGTCCGGGCTGGAGGAAGCCCAGACAGAAGCCGCCTTTCTGCTGCCTGCTCTTGAGTTTCCCCCCGAAGGTCCCTTCTCTGGACAGCAGGCCGTGAGGGTGGCGCTCTGTCCTTTGCCTCCCCACCAGTGAGCCCAGTGGGTCGAGGGTCGCCTGTGTGAGGACACTGAGGTGGGGGAGCAGGGAGGGGCCCAGGCCCCACAGTGTCAGCATCCTCTGAGGCAGAGGCAGTGAGGCAGCTCAGGGAGCAAGGATGGAGCAGCCGCATGGGGTCAGGAAGGCACTCTGAGTGGCTGTAAATGAGAAGCAAACTGTTGTTTGAACGAAGGCGGTTCCCTCCCAAGTCACAGGTGGAGCAACAGGTCTTTTTTCTGCTGTCTGCTTTGTATTTTCTCTTTCTGGGAACCACGTTCATGTGTGCCTTCCTATTGGGAGATCTCCCATCCATCCATCCATCCATCCATCCATCCATCCATCCATCCAGCTCCCCAGCTCCCCATCTCCTCCCCACACACGCGCACTCGCCCACCACACTCCTTCAGCTGTTCATCCTTCCATCCATCCACCAAGCATCCAGCCATCAAGCACACATTAAGCACCAGCCGTGTGCCGTGGTTGGTGCTGGTTGTAGAGATAGTGAAAGTGTGGAGAGACATCTAGGACAGTGGAGAGTCCCCGCTGCTTAGGAAGCTCGGCGAGGGGTGGCGGGGAGCGGGCAGGGCAGTGAGGTGTGGGCAGTGTCCCCAGCGGAGACGGGGGAGGCCCCAGAGCTTTCTGAGTCACATCCTGTGTTTTCCTCTCCTCGCAGGCCTCTCTGCAGCCTCACATTTGATAAGTACCCAGTTCATTGTGAGTCGGGATGTGGAGAGAAAGAGGGAGTCCCAGCGGGTGCTGGTCTGGCCGCAGCGGCGGGCGGTGTTGCCGTGTGCGTGTGCGTGTGTGTGTGTGAGTGTGTATATGTGTGTGAGTGAATGAGTATGTGTGAGTGTGTGTGTGTGTGTATGTGTGAGTGTGTGTGTATATGTGAGTGTCTGTATGTATGTGTGAGTGTGTGAGTGTGTGTGAGTGTGTGTGTGAGTGTATGTGAGTGTATATGTATGTGTGAGTGTATGTGTATATGTGTGTGCGTGTGTGTGTATGTGTGTGAGTGAGTGTGTATGTGTGTGTGTATGTGTATGTGTGAGTGTGTGTGAGCGGGTGTGTATGTGTATGTGTGAGTGTGTGTGACTGTGTGAGTGACTGTGTGTGTGTGACTGTGTGTGTGGAGTGTGTGAGTGTGTGTGTATGTGTGAGTGTGTGTGGTGGACGAGTGTGGACGTGAGTCCAGGGCCTGGGTGAGGAGCGTCGTCGCTGTGAGTGGGTGGCTGGGAGAGCTGTGAATGTCTGGAGTAGAGAAATCCTCATATCACCAAGGACTCTCAGCTTTGAGTTATCCTTTCAGAAAATAAATAAAATAAAACCAGGCCCCTCTGAGAGGCTTGCAGTCTCTTATGCAGCCTCTCCTCCTGGCTCTGTGCTCCCAGGGGAGGCGCCCGCCAGCAGTAAGGCCGCGGCGGGAGGCTCCTGAGCACGGCTGCGGGCTTCTCTCCCAGGAGGCTGCCCGGGCTGGCGGGGCCTAGGGCTCTGTCCTGGTTCCTGTAGCGCAGAGGGTGGCCCGGGGGCGGGCACGTCTCTGCCGGCAGGCAGGCCCCTGCACACTGCAGGCCCCGAAAAGGTCCCAGGTGCCCACGTGCCTGCTTCCCCTTGGCCTGCAGCTCTTGTCAAGTCAGCAGGTGGTCGGTTACCCTGGCCCCCTCCTGCCCCATGGCCCCCCTCCTGCCCCATGGGCCCCCCTCCTGCCCCATGGCCCCCTCCTGTCCATCCTCCATCTGTTTCTCACCCCAACAGCATGGAAAGGTGCCAGGAGCACAGTCTCGGTGGCCCACATGGCTGTGCCCCCCGCAAGTTCACGGGCTGAAGCAGACAGCGCCAGGCTCGGCGGGAGTGGGCAGGGCACAGGGACGCACCGGCGGCATCAGGTGGTGGGAGGCGAGATGGCCAGGGGTGTTTGGTGTCCCGCTGCAGCTCCCTTGCCCACGTCTGCTTTCATCTCGCAGGACGGTTCCCATCACAAGCTCTTGTCTGGGACTGTGTTTTGGGGGTACTCAGTGTATGCAGGCTGAGAACAAGGCAGGGAGGAGTTGGGGTGCAAGGGGAATTCTGGGGCATGCTGGGGGAGGCTGGGAGGCAGCAGGGCTCCTCCTGAAGCCCAGGGGTCCGTTGGTCTCCCAGGAGCCCCGTGAGGCGACAGAGCCTCCCGTTGCTACCTGGCGGCTTGTCCTGGCATCTTCAGCGGCCGCCTTGCTCCCGTGTGCAGAGTCGCCCTCTGACCCCGTTGGCTGATGGTTGTCTGTGCAGCAGCTGCCATGGCCGCCACACACCTGCCTGAGGGGGCCGCCTCCTCCCACCCTCTTCTGTCTTCTTGTCCTGCTCCAGGACACCCCGTGGGAGGAGGAGCGGGGTGGCATGAGGGGCAACACCTGAGAGCAGGGCTGCGCTCCGCCCACGGCAGCTCCAGCTGGGCCTTCAGAAGGCGGCTGCAGGGGGTCAGGGGGTCAGGGCTCTCAGTCCTGGTGGGAGGAGAGTGATCGGCAGGCCTGGCCCAGCCTGAGCCCACTGTGGTTTAGCTCTTGGCCCTGCTCCCCCCCCCCCCCCCCCCCCCCGCAGCGCTCCTAGGGCTCTGCCACCGCTGTCTCCTCCAGGACCGGCTGTACTGGGGACAGCTCAGCAGAGGGCACCTTCTCAGAGTCGCAAGTCCCCAAGGCATCCCCCTACTGGCAGCGATGCACTGTGTCTGGAATGTCCATCACCACAACACAGTCGCTCAGGCCGCCACCCCGGCCCAGGGACCAGAGTGGTCTTTCCAAGGCAGGGGAGTGGTTTCTGGACGTGGCTCCTCCAGGGGAGTCCTTCTCCTGAAGTCACCTGTGTTCGTACTCCTTAGCGCCCCAATGGGCTCAGCAGGCCCAGTCCCTGCCTCCCTCTGGGGCTCCTCCCTACGCTGCCTGCTGCCCGAGTTGCAGACACTGGAGCTGTCCTCAGGCCTTCCCACCGCTCGGCCAGCTGTGGCCACAGGCGAATGCAGCGCTGCCTGTTCTGTGAAGGAAGTTTTACTGCACCCCCCAGTCTGTGTATCTGCTCTGGCTCCGTGGTCCTTCATCAGAAATCTGGGCAGTCCCTCCCGCCCCGGTCCTGCTCCTCTGCACAACCCTGCCCTGGCATCATGCTGGCCTCCCCGTAGACGCCTCACCTCTCCCCTCCGAATCCTTAGCCCGAGCCTGTGCCCCTCCCCTCCCTGCTTTGCATGTGAGACTGCACAGGGCGCTGATCCCTCTGGTTCCGGGTTGATCAGCTCGAGTTCCTGCCGCGGGGCGAGTCTCAATCTGTCCAGCCCGGCCTGGGTTGTGAGGGGAAACCTGGGGGCCAGAGGGTCGCGGCACAGAGCCTGGGTCCCACTCGCCGGGTGGCACCTGGGCCACCCGCCTCCACTGGCTCTCCCTCGGTGGAAACGCACCGTGGCGAAGGTGTCCCTGCCTTGTCTTCGCAGATCTCCAACCTCTACCTGTATGACAGCGTGCTGATGCTGGCCAACGCCTTCCACAGGAAGCTGGAGGACAGGAAGTGGCACAGCATGGCCAGCCTCAACTGCATCCGCAAGTCCACCAAGCCATGGAACGGCGGGCGGTCCATGCTGGACACGATCAAAAAGGTGTGTGAGACGGACACCCTCCTGGGCCGGGGCCCACCGCAGGCCCTCCCCACCCCCCTGCCTCCTCCAGGGGGGCCTGACACCGAGTTCTTGCGGGGAGGCCCTGCCCAGGCCTCTCCTTGCCACGCTTCTGGCCCCAGCACTTGAGGGAGGAGTGAGCGAGGGTTCCTGGCTGTGTGTTATTACTGTTGTCTCTGTTTTCATAAGGAGATCGGAGAGGCTAAGTAATTTGCCGAGTCACAAAGACAGTAGTCTCCTTCTCCACAGCTTCACTGTCAGCAGTTTCACTTACCTGTGGCCAACGAATGTTGGAAAGTATTACACGGAAAGTTCCAGAAATAAGTCATTTATACATTGTAAGTTGCACATCATTCTGAGTACCTGCTTCATCTCATCACATAGGCATTGTAGCATCTCACGTTGTCATGTGAAGAGGAGGTTCGTGCAGTAAAATAAGATATTTTGAGAGAGAGACCACCTTTCCATAACTTTTATTGCGGTATACTAGTATTGTTATAATTGTTCTACTTACTATAGTTACTGCTGTTAGTCTCTTACTGTGACTCATTTATCAATTAAACTTTCTCATAGGTATGGGGGTGTATGAAAGAACATGGTATATTAGAGTTGGGTGCTATCCAGGGCTTTGGGCATCACTGGGGTCTGGACCGCACCGCTGTGGACAGGAGCTGCTCTCAGGAGAGAGGGGAGCAGCTGCCTTGCCCATGTGTGCTGTCTGTAAGACAGGCTGACTCAGTGGCAGCACATGTGCTGATCAGCCAAGACCTCAGCTGTGTGTGTGCGTATGTACTAGTATATGTGCATACACACGTGTGTGCAGGTGCGTTCATCTGGGTGTATCTATGTGTGTGCATGTCTGTATGTATGTGTGCACAGATGCATGTGAACATATGCACACGTGGACATCTGGATGTGTGTGCATGCACATGTACACGTGTGTACACACGTGTATGTGGTTGTGCTTGCCTGGTATGTAGGTGTGTGCGTGCATGTGTGCACACACGTGGGGACATGCTCATCGAGGTGTGTGCACAAGTGTGCATGTGCAGGTTCTCTGCACTTGGTGGTGGGATGCTGAGCAGCACCCCCAGGTGGAAGGCTGGATTTGAAGAGAACTGGGTAAGCCACAGGAGGTTTGGTAGAGTGGACTGGCTTTGAGAGGCTTCAGAAGAGCATGTAAGGACATCTCCAGTGCTGGGAGCTGTAATCACAGCAAACCGCGCGTGGTTTCAGGAGCAGCGAGCACTGTTTGCTACAGCGACTGGGGGCCCTCTTGGGTCCTTCCCAGCTCACCGTCTAGGGGAGGTCATGGCTGGATGAGAGCCCTTCCCAGCCTTGAAGAAAGAAGGGGCTTACCACAGGGCAGCCCAGCCTCTGTCTGCTCCGACAGAGCCCACTGGGCCACGGGAGAGGCGCTGGGCACGCGCCCACCGTGCCGCCTGCAGTCACCATGCTGTGCAGTTTCTCTGTGGCCCCGGAGGACCTGACGGGATTTGGTTACTCCAGGCCGAAGCGGGGAGATGGGAGGTGTTGCCCTACCGCTCCCACCTGTGTCTGACGGGTGTGACTGCGTGTGCGCTCTCTTGACCTTGGATGTCCCGCGTGGCTCAAGCTGAGTGAGCCCGTGGGGCAGGGTGTAGGGGCAGACTGTAAGCTCCAGGGGGTAGGGGACACGGCCAGCACCGCGTGTGGCACGGGCAGGCCCTGTAATCCTGCTGACTGCATCAGCGACGGGTGCAGGCGTGAGGGGTTCCCCATGAGCAAGGGCCTGGGCAGGGCTGGCCCGCTGGGAGGCCCAGGACCGCAGGCGTGCCCCCAGACCTTGCTGACTCGCTTCTCGGTGACCACTTTTGTCTCCCTTGCCTTGGGGTCCCCTCCCCTGCCCTCCCCCGTCCATGTCTGCTTAACTCTCCGATGGTTTGTTCTTCTCTCTGCAGGGTCACATCACCGGCCTCACAGGGGTGATGGAGTTTCGGGAGGATCGCTCGAACCCCTATGTCCAGTTTGAAATCCTCGGCACAACCTACAGCGAGACCTTCGGCAAAGACATGCGTAAGGTGAGCTGCAGGACGCCGCGGCTCCTCTTCCCGCTGCGGTGGCCCAGGCCCTGTGTGGTGCTCATGGCACTGTGGGCAGGAGGCTGAGACTGTCAACCAGAAAGTGCCGAAGTGCCGCTCGTGTAGTCTCAGCGCAGTGGGGCCTGGAGGGCCAGCCTGTGGCCGGGTGAGGCAGGAGGGCCAACCCAGTGAGGCAGGAGGGCCAGCCTGCGGCCCGGGTGAGGCGGGAGGGGCAACGCGTTTTCCCAGAGCCCCTGGGATCAGCCCAACGGCAGGGCAGGTGTGACTGTGGCTGAGGCAGGAGAGAGGCATAGCCAGAGAGTGTTCTCGGTCCAGGAGTGGACAAGGCCGTGAGCAGACAAGCGAGGCAGGAGGAGGTGTGGAGCGGGCGTGCTGGGGCCCCCTGTAGGGAGAAATGAGGGGCACTCGGGCTCATAACTCGGGGGTTCATCCGTTTTATTTGGTGCTCATGCAAGTGGCAGGCCTGGGTTTTCCGTGACCCTTTCCTTCTCTTGTGGGGGTTTTCAGGATGGAGGACGGGGGCGGACTGTGGCCCTGGGTTGGAATCCCCAAAGTTAAGCCACAGTTGGAAGCACTCACGATGTGAAGGAGCCACAGGCTCATCTAACCAGCATTAAAGCCTGGCATGCACTCGGCACGGATGCACATCCATTCACACACAGTCACACACAGCCACGCACACACACAGAGCCACACACATGCATACACAGTCACACACAGAGTCACACACAGACACACACACACAGTCGCACACAGGGACACAGAGTCACAGCCACACACACACACACACAGAGCCACACACATGCATACACAGTCACACACAGAGTCACACAGACACACTCACACATCACATGCATGTGTGCACAGGCATACACAGGCACACAAAGTCACACATGTGCACTCACAGTCACACACATGTGTGCGCTCACAGTCACACACTCTGTGCACTTGAGAGAAAGATGTCTCTACCAATGACCGTTCCGGGAGGGGAAGCGTGGTGCACCCTCAGCAGGACGAGGCGGAGCTGGCCGAGGGCAGTGCAGGGCAGCCAGGGTCCTCTGATGCTGAGACTGGTGAGGGGGACCAGCCGGAAGACGGCGTGTGTGGTGCCGGGTGTGAGTGTGGTGGCACTGAGGAGCAGCCCTCAGGCACAGCATGGGCAGGACTGGCCCCTGGGAGCTGAGGGTCCCCGTGCTATGGGGCGGGACTTCCAGCTCATCTGTGACGGAAGGTTAGGGTCACGGTTGGTTGTACAGATGACAGCAGGCTCAGTAACTGGCTGAGAGGCAGGGTGACCCACGTGGTTTGAAGACATTGGTGCTCAAAGGCTTGTGTGTGGCATCACAGAGGGTGGACGGTGACGGTGTGACACCGGTGGGCCAGGTGGGCCCCGTCATGTCCAGGGTGTCGGATGCCTGTGGGGGATGCCCGAGCTGTGAGGCTGGTGGAGGGCTGGGGCTGGCGGTCCGCACGGCCTGGGCCATTTGTGACCATAGTGGGAACTGCCTGTGTTGGGGCTCCCACCTGGTCAGGGAACCAGGGCTGGCCCTTCAGTCACGTGTGGAAGGCTCCTGCCGAGTGCCTGCAGGTCCTTGCCGGCATGCCTCGGGGCTCCTCCCGGTGATGACAGGCAGGCTGAGTGCTGGCTCCTGGGCTGCCACCCCTCTTCAGCTCAGCTCACCCCCAGCGTCCCGCAGTGGGTGGGAATGTTGGCTGGGGGACCTTTGCCCCATCTCTGCAGCTGATGGGGGCCATGCTGGCCACTCCAGGGGCCTGAAAGAGGGGAGGCAGCACCCTCCACTTCCTGCTTCAGGTGCTTGGGCCTCTGGTTGCCACGGCAACGCTCCTCCAACACCCTGAGCTGGAACTGCGCAGGGTGGGGAGCCTCTGAGCGGGGAGCAGGGTGTGACTGAGCTGGGAGAGAAGCTGCTTTTCAAGTGGGCTTTATTCTAAGACGCATCCTTTTGTCATTTAAAATCTGCCCTAATAACTGCATAGCCCAGTTGTTATCTGTCTGCCTGGCAGCTTAACGCGCTGAGGAGAGGTTATCTGGGAAGCAGGAGTGGGTTCATCCAGCAAATGTCTGTGATTCAGCCCGGATTTCATTGGAGCGAGGGCTGGCGGTTTCAGGATGGAGCGAGGAGAGGGCCTGGGCAGAGCATGTCCCGGCTAAAGGTCATCATTTAAAGGCAGGCTGAGCCTAGCTGGCATGGCTCAGTGGTTGAGTGTCGACCTATGAACCAGAAGGTCATGGTTTGATTCTTGGTCAGGGCACATGCCCAGGTTGCGGGCTTGATCCCCAATGTGGGGCATGCAGGAGGCAGCCAATCCATGATTCTTTCTCATCATGATGTTTTTATCTCCGTCTTCCTTCCTCTCTGAGATCAACAAAAATATATTTATAAATAAATACATACATACATGAAGGCAGGCTGAGCGGGGCTTCTCGTAGGAGGTGGGGCTGAGGCATAGGCTGGGATATTGGGGTGGCATACAAATAAAGTGGGAGGGGCAGCAGGTTTGAGGGTAGGATTAGGGTCCTGAGGCACAGAAAGGCAGAGGAGGCGGGACCACTCCCAGGAGCCCCTCTGGGCACCTGCTGTGGTGCTGGGGAGCTGCAGGGGAGCTGTGTGGGACAGGCAGGGGGAGCTGTGTGGGACAGGCAAGGGGAGCTGTGTGGGGAGCTGTGTGGGGAGCTGTGTGGGACAGGCGAGGGGAGCTGTGTGGGGAGCTGTGTGGGACAGGCAAGGGGAGCTGACCGGGGCCACAGCACCCCCTGTGGGCCGAGGTGCGTCACAGCTGTGCTGTCTCACTATGGGGGCCACTGCATTGCTCCTGGCTCCCAGCCCTGACACTCTGCAGCCACTTCCCTTCTCTGGGCGTCGTTTTCTCAGATGGAAGGCGGAGCTGCTAGGACCTCCTGGCTGGGCAGGGCTCCGTGCAGTGGCCCTGTGGCAGGCCTTGGCAGCGGGCACTCTCCCGTGCGGCTGGGCCAGCAGCTGGGCAGATGGGGCTTCCCTCTGGGCATTCCAGCCCAGACCCCACAGGAGCAGAGCGGCCAGGCCTCAGGCCGAGGCGGGAGGGCTCTGTGCCTGGGCAGTGCCCAGCTGCGAGCAGATGGCAGCTCCTTCTCACGCCTGAGGACCCAGAGGGCCTGGGCTTCACCTCCGACGAGGCTTTATTTGGAGGCTGCTCTGATGCGGTCTTTGGGAAGAGGCAACTCGGCCTTCTTTTCCGTGAGCGTTACTCGCCTGGAGTCCCACCGGCACAGCCCGCGGGAACAGAAGGCTCTCATGGCAGGTGGCCCAGGCGTCTGCCCTGCCGCGTCCCGATGCCGCTGGCGTGGGAGGCTCGCTCCCTCTTCCCTCTCACATGGGTCCCTGGTACGTGAAATCTGGGCCAAAGTGCTGACTGCTTGCAGGCCCTTTGAACCTTATTCCCACAGCAGGAGGGCGGGAGTGGGCGGCAGCGGGCAGGCCTGTGGGGCAGAGGACACCCTGACGAGAGAACGGGACTGTTTGCTGCTGCTTTCCGTGGAAGAGAATTGCGTTGGGTTCAGTGGTTTTCAAGCTTCTGTCTAGTCCCAGGAAGTCTGTTCCAGCAGAAGCTTCCTGAGCCCACACATTCCCTTGTGCAGAGGCAGGTGCAGGTGGGGACTGCGGTGGGTGCCGAGCCCCCTGCACAGTGGCCAGCCCCAGCCTCTCCGTCTCCGGGTGTGCTGAGCAGCGCCAGCGGGGAAACCGCGGCCCTGAGGCTGCAGAGACTTGACTATGTAGTGGCTGTGCTGGCTGGAAGGAAGATGTAGGGGGGGGACCCTTCTTGAACTCCCTCATGCCCCTCCGCCTACTTTCCACCTCCCCCCCCCGCCCGCATTAGGGCCTCTGAGCCCCTTCCCACTGGTCCAGAGCCTGCTGACTGGTGTTGCACCAGTGCCCAGTGCCCAGTGCCCATGGGCAGCCTCCTGCCCAGCCATTCCCCAGGGACCGAGGCTTCCCCTCCTGCTTCCTCTGTGGGTTTGATCCTCGTAAAGGCTGGCTCTGCTGGGAGTCAAAGGCTCCCCTGGTGCCATGTCCGCAGGAGGCCTCGTGCTGCTGCTAATTGAGAGGAATGATTGCTCATCCTGAGGTGATTGGCAGGCCGGGACCCCCGCCCTCCCGGCTCAGCGCGCACATCAACCATTCTTGCCCAGGTCTGCTACCTGTGTTACAGTGTCCCACATCCCCAGGGCGCAGGCGCTCTAAGGGCGAGGCCAGGTGGAAGAGGCACCAGCCCGCAGGCGGACTCCCTGACTGGGGCCCCAGCCCCTGGCGCTGGACCAGGAGCCCGCAGTGGCTGAGGACTGGAGCGGGTGCTGGTGGGGTGGGAGGGTCCAGCCGAGAACTCTGTGGAGTCTCTGTTAGCTGCTCTATAGACTCCCCGCTGTGCACAGTGAGTCCAGACTTCAGCCCCATCATGGATTAGCAATTCCCCAGAAAAATGTTACCCTTCCCAACTCTTGTGCAGAACGGCTTTTAACAGAGCCAAGACCCAAAACAAGCCCTGCTGCTTCATCCCAGGAAAGGGATCGGGAAAAGATACAATTAAGTACTATTTCATTTTAAATTGCACTTGTCATTTTTTGAGATAGTGCCAATACATGCTCATTTGGGGTAGAATGTTTAGAAAATACAGATAAATGAAAAGAAGAATAAAGAAGTCAGCTCTGATTTCTGCACCAGGGAAGAAGCACTGTTAGATATCTGGTGCATTTTATTTTCCTCCTCTATACATGCAGGTAGATAGCGATAGGTCTGTTTTTCAAATGGCTATTTGTTGCACATACATTTGTGGCCTGACTTTCCTATTTAATGGTATATTGGGAGCATTTCCTCATTTCTTTATTCTTTTCACTATGATTTTTAATGGGAACATGTTATTCAACTTACATTTATTTTATCTTCCTATATGATAAGTGTTTAGGCATTTTCACCATATTATTA